TTTAAAATCATTATTTTTCTTACTAAACTTTTGTAAATGTTGTATACTTCATTTTTATTAGACAATTTTTCTTACTAAACTTTTGTTAAACAAAACTATTATTACAGCATTATACCTCTATTTAATATATAATAAATTCTAACATAAATGACTTTATTATCACTATTTCCATATACTACTTCATATACATACCTATATCTTTTTCCTATTCTTTGATTAACATTTTACTAAAATCTTCAATCATATAACAATTAATTTTATTTTATAGTAGATTATTCAATAATTAAATATCTATAATTGTTAAATCATATGTTTGTGTATGTGAGTGTTAGCTTAGTATTATATATACTTGTTAAATGTAATATTTGTTTGAAAATATAAATTTTTATGATAATTGTTATATTATATATTATTATTATTATTAAACAAAAATATAAATTCTTTCCTCTTTTGCTCTATTTTTATCAAAAATGATAATTAAAATTTACCACTTTAAAGAATTATGAAATATAATTTGAACTAAAATTTTATAATTATTTTTATTTATCAATATTTTAATATTAGGCATCAATTTTCACCATCACGTACAAAATACTTGTTGTATTTATAAACGTAGACAATCACTTAATTAAGTACTAAAATAACAAATCGTGCACAATATAGTGATAAAAGAAATATACAATTCTTATTATTATTATTAGGAGAAATTTCACTTCATCCACTTGATAAGGTTGGCCTACCTATTGAACTTCTGGCTTGCTACTTGATAATGGAACTAATTGATTGATTGATAAAGGGTTAGTGGCAAAGTTGGCTTTTTTTACTTCATATAATTCAATAATCTATTGTGACTTATAAACATAGTTATTCCATCATCTATTCTAACTTATATATACATGCGACAGTAAAGATTAATTATTTCATTATAAAATAGATCATATGTTAATTATGGATTCAATTTAGTTTCAAAGTATTAGGACAATTGTTGCAAAAATCGGCCTAGACAATTTCAGCCCTAGGCGGCTTTTAGTCAGCCGACCGACTAACTGGCTGACTAGGCGCCTAACTTGGCCGATTTGAGCGCATAATTCGGTCAAGTCAGGCGCCTAACTCGACCGAATCGGTGCCCAATTCAGCCGAGTTGGCGCTCAACTCGGCCGAGTGGTTTTTTTGTCAACTCGGCTACTCCTCTTCTAAATTTCTTCAATCATGTACTCAACTAACCATCTAACATATGCATTTGACTGGTTTGGAAAATTATAACAAACAGTCTAATAACTCCTAGCCCTGAGTGGGAAAAGTAAAGACAATATATTCGAATTACTTGACCGCCTAGGCGCCCCTGAAACGCCCGACTAACGCCTTCTGCAACATCGACATGTTAAGCATATATAGTGTATAAAATATAAAAATGCAATGCAATTATCAGTTTAAATTTTTTTTGTTGAAATAGAACCACGAACACAACTTTTAATTTAGTATCGGAAATAGATTCATGTGAGAGATCAGATGAAACATATGATATGATCCCTGTGATATTAAATATCTCTTTTCCAATGACGAAGACATTTCCCTATCACAATTCAAATAAACATGAAATTTGATTAAAACTCCAATCCTTTTCATTGAAAGACTTCTTTAATTTGGTCTCCGGCAAAAGGATCCAATGTTTTCTTCATTGCTATCTTCTCGTGACTCAATCACTTAATTCATGTGGCCCAGCACTGTGCTTCAATTTACGACTTGTACTTCACGTTCTCTGTTTTATTTTTATTAATTTTAAGGTTCATTTATTTTCACTATTACAAAATGCAACGTCAACTTTACACGTCTATAGTAACTAGACACATAAATTATTGTTAAAAAACAAATCTTGATAATAGCCATATGTTCTAACTCAAGTACAAACGCCTATTGTATTTATTTATTTGTTATTAACATTGATAATATGTTTGTACCCATTAGATACAAACGCCTATTTTATACCAAATAAAGGAATAGATATTTTTATTAAATAAATGAAAGATTTATTATTGAGTTAGTCCGTACATTGATAGCTTGTTGGTCAACCTGAGAATAATTTGGCAAAATTAATTGACTTTTTAGCACCTCAGTGTGAATATGTCACTGCGCATGCGGAAAAATATTAGGTCTACTTGCGCATTATTGTATATAGTTCATGTCTCTCTCTGCCCTGTCTCTTCTTATTTATATAATAATAATTTAAAATTTACCCAATAAATATTTATAAAAGGAATTAATTCTATTTTTTTTTATCATAGATTTATAGGTTCTACACACTCCTACTTTTATCATTCAGAAATCACCACTCCATTAGGGGAAGTAGTATTTTTCTATTTTTATCATAGATTTATTGGTCCTACACACTCCTAATTCTTTTTTTTTTTTTCTTTTTTTTTTTTTTTTTGGTGAGTGGCAAAATTATGTGAATTAGCATTTTTCTTTTGTTAGGGTGTATAAAGCTAAGTATATATTTTGATACTTTTATTTTTTTAAAATGTAATTTACATGCAAACTCAAAGAAATCCTGGTTAGATTAGAATATTTCTTCTTGCATTGAAAATTATAATTGTTAAAAAATATAAATATTTGATATTATTTTGTCAAGTTTTAAAGGTTTTAATATAATTGTTATGCATAGTTGTGTATAATTATCACAAAACATAAAAGTTTAAGTGGGTGTTTGGTAAATAGATGTTAGTGGATAACAATTAGCTGATTGGGTTAGTGTGTTTGACTAGTTAATATTATTAGCTGATTGTAGGAAAGTGTTTGGCAAATTAGCTAATAGCTGATTACGTATAAAAATAAAAATAAAAAAATAAAAAAAATAAAAAAACTTATCGAAAAAGCTACTTTGAGCAGCTTTTGAATTTTAGCATTTTAGAGCAATAGGTTGTTACAAATAGCTAATTGATCAAACACTCATATTAATTGTTTAATCAAGTCAAACAGCTAATAGTGGTCAAATAAGCCAAATTTGATTAATAAGCTAACTATATTACCAAACATGTCCTAATTCTTTTTCCCCATTTTAAGGTTTAGATATAATTGTCTTAAAGCACAAATGTTTAATTTTTTTATGCCAATAAGCCTTTATAAAATAATAATAAATACACTCCAAAAAGGATTATTGAGTAGATGAAGCGTGATTCTCATACCTAAATGTAACGGGTTCAATTCTTGCAGACACACCCTTCTTAGTTGAGTCATCTAATGCATATCCTCAAGTAGTGAGTGCATATTTCTTTTGTCATCCAATAATAATAAAAGTACGTGCAGTGATAGTTTTTTAAAATAATTCCTTAGCGATTAATATTTGATCCACATGTTTTTTTTTTGCCAAATATAAGAGAGAGGAAAATGAGGAAAAATAATAATAAATAAAATTAAAAATTGATAAGTTAAAGTATTTAATTGGAGTTTTTCTTATTTTAAGGGTTTAATTGCACTTTGACTTATAGTTGAAATGGTTTATTTGACGCTTATCCCAATTAAAATGACAGGGTAGGAAAAAAAACGGCGTTAGTTATCATTTAAGCACCTAAAGGGTGCGTGCATTACACGTGCCTGTTGAGTATAATTGGTGTGCGTTAAACGTGCACTAATAGAAAATTTTAAAAAATTTATTGTTTGGGATTTAAACTTGTAACATCCTGTTTAAAAGAATCACGTCTATGCCGCTTGATCAGAAAGTCTTTTACTCTGCTCTCTCCTCTATCCCATCTAAAAATTCACACCAAAAAAAAAACACTATCAATATGAATGGTCTAAAATATTATAGAGCTGCTTAAGTCAACTTGCCAGTCTTGCTTTCTTTTTGGAAGTAAAGATATTGGCGATATAAATAATGGGCTAAGTGTAACTTCCACTCATATATGGATAGGTTCAATGCACGAAATATGATTACGTCATTGCTAGAACATGATACATGTGAACGCTAGAAATTTTAACTATGCTTTAATTTCCACATTTAATAATTGAATGCTTATTTATATTAAAATAACATGAAATGCAAAAAGGGAAACTATGTGCCTTGACTTATTGAGTGGTAGCTGGTGATGATAAAAGATCCTTTTCCTAGTAGTTGTGACTTTGGGCAACAAAACATTCACCTGATCTTTACTTTTCTATTTCTATTTTGATAAATCATTAATAATTTCCGATGGAAATATTATTCAAATTAACTATTTCATTATGTAGTTTTAACTAAATATTTAACTTTTTATATTTATTGATTAACTATAAATTAGATAGAAAGTTAATATAAGATAGAGAGATGTCAAAAAATTTCATACAGAATATGTCCTTATAGGTAGCTTAGTTGATTTTCAGATAAAGATTGCACCCAAAGACGAAAGTCCAAATCTTGATAGTGGCACTGTGGCAGTATGGAGTTTCACCCTCTTATAAGGGTATCTTCTTTTGTGCATCAGATACTAATTGTCTCACTTGAAGAGAGGTTAAGTCATCATGATTTAACCTTTTCAAAAGAAATTATGCATTTTTCACCCGGAAAGAAAGAGTATCCCCAAGAGATTTTTTTTTTTTTTTTTTTTTTTTTTGCTGAAAAAATGATTTTTTGTAAGGCCCACTCCAGCGGGTCGCATTTAGAATATAATTTTCTTCTTTTTTTATTTCTTGACAATCTTTTTTTTTTTTTTCTCCTAATCATCCTATATGAAGCAAAAAAAAAAAAAAAAAAAAAAAAAAAAAAACCCACTCTTAGAATTTAGAAATGCTCTAAAAATCCAACAAAAATAGACTAAATCTCACCGTTCAATTATCTAAAAAAGGTGTAACCGTTAATTTCTGGTGTTGCCATGTTTGACTTGTCAGAGGAAGAGTGCGATAAATTCACGTGGCCGAGTGAAAACTGCAGAAATGGGTCACCTATGGTTGCGAACACGTTTTCACAAAGGACACAACTTTGTCATTTTCTGGCTCCTTTCCATTATCCCTTAACCAAACCAGAAAAATTTCAACAAAAAAATCACAAAGTAAATGTGTAAGGGAAGGCCAGAGGAAGCTAGCTAGCTAGTCTTCCATTTCCTTTTAGCCACTGCTGTGGGCTTTGTTTCCTCTCTTATCTTTCTGTTTTCCATCTCAGTTTACACCAAGAACCTAGCTTTTCTTCTAGATTTCAGTTTATGCTTATTTTCTTGAGACCTTCATATTTATTGCTAGATTTTTGTGGGTCTTCAAGGCTTGGGTTTTTCTTGGTTGGTGTGTTATTGTGTTTTCTTGATGGGTAATTGCGTTGGTTCCTCTGCTAAAGTTGATGCCACTTTGAGCTCTCACACCCCCTCTGGTACTTCTCATTTCTCCCCTTCTCTCTCTCCCAGTTATCTATCTCAAATTTATTCTTCTTTTTTCCTTTTAATTGTGTGAAAGGAACTTAGATTTATTACTGGCATTACTTGCTTTGCTCTATGCTTGGCGTTAATTGAATTGGTTTTCTGTTTTTTTCTCAATTTAGTTTATAGAGTTGAGATCTTCGTTGGCTTAAAGTTGATGTCTTTGAGCTTGGAAGTAACATTTAGAGGGTCTGGGTTGTAATTAGAAGATGAAATTTCTTGGTGGAACTATGTCAATTTTATTTTTTTTTTAAATTTTTGATGTCTGTTAATAATTCATGTATTCTGGGTTCTATTTGGATGGTTTGGTTCAGAGTTGGGGCTTGTGTTTGGATATCTCTCTTTTCTTTCATTGTGATTCTGCCCACCATTAATAAGTACTAAGGTCTGATCTTGGAATGAATTGTTGAGTTCAATCACTTTTTCATTCATACAATATAATCTTTCTATAGGGCTTGTCTAGTTTTTCTTTGTTGGGCGGAGGTCGGTGAAGGGCCAAGTCCAGGACCAGGTGGCTAGGGGATTGTTGGGCGGAGGTCTGAAGGGCCAAGTCCAGCACTCTCCTCTCGATTCTCTAAAATGTGGCGGATCAAGGAAATACGCACGGCTAAAAATTATGGAATTTCCGACCACATGAAAATGATCTTAAATCAAGTCGAAAGCAAAAAGTGGTCGGAAATAGCAACAAAGGTTTTTCCCGATACCAAAAGTGGTGGACTTGATTTAAGATCACTTTCATTTGGAAATTTCATAATTTCCAGCAGTGACGGTTGCACCTTCTATAGCTTTTGGCGTAGTGGTAAACGATTGATCCTAACAAGTGGTTCCAGAACCGGGACTAGTTACAGCTTTAGCACATTGTTTTACTTTATGTATTCTGAAAGAAAATTGATTAGCTTTCTCTACCCATTTCCTAATGAGTGTTTGCATGAATCTGAATCTATTTTGGTCACTGTTCTTGGCTTTTCTTCAATTTTAGGTATAACACATTGTACATATTGACGGGCACTTGAAACCCCTACTGTATCAAGCAAACAACTAATCCTTTCGTTTCTGTTTTTCTTCTTCTTCCAGCTGCTGAAGTGGCAAGAGTTGCCAGCAAAACGAGCAGCTATTCTGTCCCTTCCTCCTTAAGTATTCCGTCAAATGGTAGAAAAAGCAGTGTCGATAGCCTCCCGACTCCACGTTCCGAAAGTGAAATATTATTATCGCCTCATGTTAAAGCCTTTCAATTTAGTGAACTGAGGAATGCAACGAGGAACTTCAGACCCGACAGTCTTCTCGGGGAGGGAGGGTTTGGGTATGTATTCAAAGGGTGGATAGACGAGCATACTCTTAGTGCTGCAAAGCCTGGATTTGGGATGGTTGTTGCTGTCAAGAGGCTAAAGCCCGAAGGTTTTCAAGGTCACAAGGAGTGGCTGGTATGCTTCATCTCGATCTCCCCTGTTAATGGGTAATTTTTGTTTTTTGGTTCGTTTTTATTTATAGCCGATGCCTTGCAGACCGAAGTTAATTATCTTGGGCAACTTCATCATCCGAACCTGGTTAAACTTATTGGTTACTGCACTGAAGGTGAAAATCGACTTTTGGTGTATGAGTTCATGCCTAAAGGCAGCTTGGAGAATCATCTGTTTAGAAGTAAATTTTCATCTATACAACTCCGTCATTTCAATTTGCTCAATTTCTTTGAGTGGCAGGGATAACCCGTAGCCACTACCCTGCCTTGTGACCTTAGTCGGCAGAGGGCCACAAGGAGGTAAACCAGTCTAAGTTGTCTATAGCTGAGTAGCTGACTGACATAAACCAAAAAGGCCAATAGGACGCTCCCACTGGGAGTCGAACTTGGAACTTGTGGTTACCCAGCCAACAGCTGGGCTAACTCGGCTGGGGTTGCCTCTTTTGTAGGTTTCTTTTTTTTGGGTGACAGGGGAAACCCGTAGCCACTACCCTGTCTTGTGACCTTAGTCGGCAAAGGGCCATAAGGAGGTAAACGAGTCTAAGTTGTCTATAACTGACCGATATAAACCAAAAAGGCCAATAGGACGCTCCCACTGGGAGTCGAATTTGGAACTTGTGGTTACCCAGCCAACAACTGGACTAACTCGGCTGGGGTTGCCCCGTTCTTTGTAGGTTTCTTACTCATTGTATATGTGGCTTTGCTTCACAGGAGGGCCACAGCCTCTTAATTGGGCTACGAGAATCAAAGTTGCTATTGGTGCTGCCAGGGGCCTTGCTTTCCTGCATGACGCTAAAGAACAAGTTATATATCGGGATTTTAAGGCTTCAAATATTCTCCTAGATGCGGTATAGCTTATAAACCGACAAGCTTTCTAGTTTGTTAAAACTTAAAATTCCATCTTCTTAAGTGCTCATAAGGTTGAATTGCTCCTGGAAATGCAGGAATTCAATGCAAAGTTGTCCGATTTCGGTTTGGCTAAGGCAGGACCTACTGGCGATCGTACTCACGTGTCCACTCAAGTAATGGGTACACATGGCTATGCTGCCCCAGAATATGTAGCTACAGGTTAGTTCTTTTTTCCATTCTTTTACCAGATTTTAGTACTATTTTCTGTACAAAGACCGTGTTATTAAAAACGATACGCCCACTAATAATGGTGTTATGTTAGGATCTAGCGCTTACCACTACGCTAAAAGCTATAGTTTGTAGGGAAGGCGCAACATTGTTTCCTTATACTGTCACATTTTCGAGAGGCAGGGTGCTGGACTTGGCCCTTCAGGCCCCTCCGCCCAACAATTCCCTTAGCCACTTGGTGCTAGACTTGACCCTTCAAGCCCCTCTGCCCAACAATTCCCCTAGCCACTTGGTGCTGGACCCTCCGCCTAACAATACCCCTAGCCACCTGGTGCTGGACCCTTTGCTCAACAATACCCCTAACCACCTAGTGCAAGAGTTGGCCCTTCAGGCCCCTCCGCCAACAATACCCCTAGCCACCTAGTGCTAGACTTGGCCCTTCAGGCCCCTCCGCCAACAATACCCCTAGCCACCTGGTGCTAGACTTGGCCCTTCAGGCCCCTCCGCCCAACAATACCTTAGCCACCTAGTGCTAGATTTGACCCTTCAGGCCCCTCCGCCCAACAATTCCCCTAGCCACCTGGTGCTGGACTTGACCCTTTACTGGCCTCCGCCCAACATGTTATTTTTGCAACTATAGTTTTTAGAATGTCTAAAATTCCATTATTGCACTAAGGTTTGTGACTAATTCGCCTGCCAATTTAACAGGACGCCTGAGTGCAAAGAGCGATGTATATAGCTTTGGAGTTGTTCTGCTCGAGCTATTGTCAGGGCGTCGCGCAGTTGATAACACGAATGTGGGCGTGGAGCAGAACCTCGTGGACTGGGCTAGACCGTATTTAGGGGACAAGCGGAGGCTATTTCGCATAATGGACACCAAACTCGGGGGGCAGTACCCTCAGAAAGGAGCATTCACAGCTGCCAGCCTCGCAGTGCAGTGCTTAAGCCCCGAGCCTAAGCTCAGGCCATGCATGTCCGACGTCTTGGCTGCACTCGAGGAGCTCCAAGCCCCGAAAGGGTCTTCCAAACTCTTGCAACCGGAGCAACAACGCACTCCCAACCATCCTAGAATGTCGCCACTGAAGCAGCCGCCCCGATCACCCATGACTCCAACCCCCTCGGCCTCTCCACTGCTAAAGTCCCCGCGGGCAAGGTAGACAGACATTTTGTGCAAGCTAAGGGGTTTTTTTTCTATGTAAATTCCTGAGATTACATCAAATTTTACTATAACAACATGCTTCAATAAAGCATCATTTGGATTATTGTGTAGAATGTAGTGGATGATAAGTGAGTTATATTGAGATGGGTTTTTATAGCCTATTCAGCTTCTATCTGTAAATAAATATATAGCTTATCTTTCATGTAATCTGATGTTGCATTCCCTGTCATTCTAACTAGGTTAAGAATTTTTTTTATTTTATTTTTATTTTTTTATTACAAGGGAAACCCAAACTACTAATCGCCTTGATTGAGGCTTGGACCACAAGGTCCTTGGTGAATTAATTTATTTTTATCAACATATTTAGTTTTTGACTAAATAAAGTTCACGACTATTTATTGTGAGGGAAAATATCATTTTTAGTCCCTCGATTATAATACATGTATCAATTTTAGTCCTTGACTATTAACATTTTCAATTTAGGTGCATGTCTATTCTATTTTGTATTACATTTGTCCTTGACTATTAACATTTTCAAATTAGGTGCATGACTATAAGACTATTCAACATGTATCACATTTAGTCCTGCCGTTAAATTTTTCTGTCAAGTCACCGGTGACCGGCAAATTTATTTAATTTTTATTTTAAAAATTATTTTAATAATTTTTAAATTAAAAAAAAAAACTTAAAAAAAACAAGTCAGCCACCCCTGCACCTAAATTGTAAATGTTAATAGTGAAGGACTAAAATTGATACATGTATTATACTCATGAATTAAAAATGATATTTTCCCTTATTCGGTGACAATCCAAATTGTATTTTTTTTTTTTTTTGGTAAGAATCCAAATTGTATTCTTTCGTTGACTATTGTGCCCAAGGGCAGATTTAGAGGGGGCAATGTGGGTAGTTGCTGTTGAAGGTTGATGGGGCTTAGTTGGTAGTTATTTTTCTTTTTAATTATTATGACTTTCAATTTTAATTTCATCCCCGCTAGACACTTTAAATATATGTTTATTAATGTGAATGATGTGATAAAAATTATTTTAATTAATTAATTCAATTATGAAAATGTATTTTTTTTTTTTAAATGTACTTTTATGAGTTACTTAGTCAATTATACATTATACATCGTTTAGAAATTAGAACCATGGTCCACCTTAGTTATGGTATAACTGTCTGGCCAGATTCAATGGCCATGTTTGTCCTATCATTTTTTAGTGCCGTGATAGTAAAAAAAAAAAAAAAAGGTCCATTTTATCGTTAATTTTCATAATAAAAAATATTGAACCAGCAAGAAGCAAGTGTAATTATAAAGTGTTTTAACAGTAAAAGGATGAGAGAAAACCTTCAAATCTTTAATTGACCTGGAGAGATGTGTTTCAACTGACCTACACGTAAATAGAAAAATGTGTGTCAAGTCTTTAACGGTAGAAAATATATGCACACAATTATTCACAACAAAATCAAATTCATACCTCCTTTGCACTATATAGCAACTATCAAATCAAAATTTCTCAACTTATTTTAAGTTATGTTATCTGACCAGTTGAGATGCGCCTAGCATTACAAATAACCATTCTATTTCACACATTTCTTGTTTAGGTTATTATTGTTCTCAATCCCTGCACAAAAGAAATAGTGACTCTTAGAATGGATCAAAATACTTTTTTTTTTTTTAATGTTAAAACAAATAATAATAAAAAATCAATGTTACATCAATCTCTCCATCATGAACAGAAAGTGGTTACGTTGTGAAAGCAATGTGAAACCAATTCCAACAAAATTCATGGTGAACACGGTCCCAACGGTGTTAATGCACCATTATCTTTTTTTTTTCCTTAATTAATCGCGTGATTTTTCTTCTTCATTTTCACATTTCGCGGTTTCACTTTAATTTGAGGTGAGCGATGATTTCGGACATTCATAAATTATGAATCCATACCTGCACATTCACTTTGGACCCGTGCCTACACATTCCCGTCCGAAACCATGACTGCTGCCTGCACATTCACTTTGGACCCGTGCCTACACATTCCCGTCCGAAACCATGACTGCTCCTCTGTAGTGCAAGCTTCTTCAACATTCATAAATTATGAATTTTCTGTTATGAGATTATGAATTTTATGTTATGAGTAAATTCATAATCTCATAACAGAAAATTCATAATTTAATAAATGTTTTTCTTTTATGCGATTATGAATTTTCTGTTATGAGATTATGAATTTACAGTACATTCATAATCTCATAACAGAAAATTCATAATCTGATCAAATGCACGCCATTAACACCACATCCGCGAATTTTTTTTTATTTTTTTTTTACGTAAAAACGGTGTCGTTTGGACCCGTGTTCACCATTCACGTTTCCAGGGCATAATTTGGGCTGGGCTGGCATCATTCTAAATTCTAACTGAATGTGAAATATATCAAATCTTACAGAAAGCTATTCAGCATATATAGTAACCAGAGCCCCAAGGACCATGCTTAAATTGCTTATGTACCATCATTATAAACAAGTTAGTTGACTGAAAAATATTACTGGCCTTAATTAATATTAGCGGATGACTTATACGTGGCAGCTGATGAACCGTTTGATAAATTAATTATCTAGTGTTATTATGTAACATGTAAAATGGCTTGAAATGACACCAATATATTATATTATTATTGAGTGATGTCCAAATTATTTTTAATTTTACAAATAATATTCAAAATGTGTTGATTTTAATTTTTTTTATTATTGTTGTTGTTTATTATCATGCTTACTATTGTTTTTTGTTAATAATAATAATAATAATAATATGATGGTGATGGTGATGGCGATAGGAATGGTGAAGTTATTAATGAATCTACCATCTACTAATAATATAATTTAATAAGAACCAATAAAGTTAGGCTTATAACAAGAACTAAACAACTGTTTGTCCAATTGTTTGTTGAAATGATGAATGGTTTATATTATTTTGATTTTAATATTTTCTTTTTAATTTTCCTACTTTACTTTCAATTATATCATTTACTTTTTCTAAATATCTCTACATTCCGCGTAAACTTTAGTAATGGAATAATTTGATAACTATTTGCCAAGGACCTTGTGGTCTAATGGTACCAAGTTGCACTCCTATGTGGGAGGTAATGACACTGCTGGAAATTATGGAATTTCCGACCACCTGAAAGTGATCTTAAATCAAGTCGAAAGCAAAAAGTAGTCGGAAATAGCAACAAAGGTTTTTCCGGATACCAAAAGTGGTCGGAACAAGGCTTTCGACTTGATTTAAGATCACTTTCAGGTGGTCGGAAATTACATAATTTTCAGTAGTGTGAGTTTGAGCTAGCCTTGGTGGAGGTGTAATAGCTTGTATATTTGGGTATCTCCTTCCCTTGTAACAAAAAAGAGTTAATACCCAAAATCGTCCTCGACTATAATGGTTTTTCTCAATTTCGTCCTAAACGGCTTTGGTGACCTAATATCGTCCTAGACTTTTGTGTTTCGCTCAATTTAGTCCTCCATTTGTTATTTCGTCAAATTGGTGTTCAATAAAGAGATAATTCAGTAATGTCAATATTGATCTCTCTTTACTTTCAACTTGTGAAGTGCGAAATTCCTTTTTCTTGTACGAATTACACCCAGAATTACTCCCGGACCTGCAAATCAAATTTTATATTCGCAGTTTTAGGAGTAATTCTGGGAGTAATTCATAAAAAAAAAAGGATTTCGCAGTTCACATGTCTATGAGTAAAGAGATGCCAATATTAAAATTACTGAATTGTCTATTTATTTAACACCAAATGGACAGAATAACAAATGAGGGACTAAATTGAGCAAAAACACAAAAGTCTGGGACTAAATTGAGCGAAACACAAAAGTCTGGGACGATATTAGGTCACCAAAGTCGTTTAGGACGAAATTGAGAAAAATCACTATAGTCGAGGACGATTTTGGGTATTAACTCTAACAAAAAACTTAATAACTATTTATTATTCTTAACTTACTCATTGATTTTCATAAGGAGGGTCTTATTAGGTTCGAATCTTATCCCAATTAGAGTTGCATAATTGTTGAACATTTTACTATGAATATGTTAAATTGTATTAAAACAATATAATATAAATTTTAACATGAAATTTAATCAATTAATTAGCCAAACTATATACATAACATTCAAATTGACCATCAAACTTATGAATAAGAAACCTTGAAAATCATTTTCTTTCATTTTCTTTAAAAAACAAATTTATTGGGAATGACTTATGTCATTATGATACTAATAATTTTTGTCCGTATTTGTATAAAATGATACATAAATACCTATCCCTTTTGCACATAACCCAATCTTCTCTCACTTCCACAAGGAACTCCGAACCTCAAAAATCACCTCAAACACATGGTTGACCTGACTTGTTCTAACTTCTAACAAAAGCAAGATTTATCCCTATTAATTAAAGGTTGCATTATATTATATATTCATACCTATTAAGCAATAACATAACATACAGCTTCATAATTATATTATATAAATCAGTTTAGGAAGAAGAAGATGAGACCAGACCAAAACTAAGATCAGAGAGACATGGAGGAAGTGATTCAAGTCCCAAAAGCGAAGCTTAATTCGGGTCACGAAATGCCTCTTTTAGGCATGGGAAGTGGGTCTTCCTCGCTTCCAGAGCCGGAGCAGTTGACGTCGATCTTTATCGACGCCATAGAGATGGGGTACCGTCACTTCGACACCGCCGCCATCTACGGCAGCGAGGTGGCGCTGGGCCGTGCCGTGGCCGCAGCAGTCCGGCAGGGACTTGTTGCCAGCCGAGACCAACTGTTCATCACTACCAAGCTATGGTGCTCGGAGACTGACCGTCATCTTGTCGTTCCAGCCCTTCGGAGATCGTTGGGGTAATATTTCATCGAGTTAATTCCACCGGAAATTCCTTGTCTTTAATGACAATTAATCAATTATATGATTAGTCCCATACTATCGTTTTTACCATTTAATATCCCAAACTAATATTTTTTTTTGGACATTTTTAGTCATTCTCGTGATTTTTCTTATTTTTAAGAAGGGTATTTTTGTCTTTTTCTATTTTTGTATTTTTATGCTCTTGCTGAAAATAGAAAAGTCATGATAAAGACTAAAAGTGTCCAAAAATAATAGTCTAGAATACTAAATTACAAAAATGATAATTTGAAACTAAATTCAGAATTGATACCAAAGACAAGGAATCTCCGGTGAAA